GTCCTCCTCTGTGAGTGTTCTTAGTGGTACTGTAATGGCTGCTTTCCTGTTCTGAAACCATTCAAAGCATCTACATTTTATTGTCATTTTGACCTCGGGGGAAGAGCCAGAAGTCACACACTACCAGAGCCAATGAATAAGTTGAAAACTTGGCAGGAGCATTACCATCTCTATGTCTATGTTGATCTCTACCATGTGTCTCTCTCTCTCTCTGTCTCTGTCTCTCTATCTCTCTGTCTATCTCTGTCTCTCTCTTTCTCTGTCTTTTTAATCACAACTTTGAAAGACATTCACAAAAGAAGACTTTGGAAAGTGGCAAGAATGATGGAAGAAGTCTTCAAAGCTAGGGAGAGTCTTTTGAGAGGGATTAATGGTGATTTATGTTTTACTCTAATGACTTTTTTAAAAATTTAAACATTCACTATGTTTTGATCATACCTTATATATCTTAAAATATTGTACATACACATTGCAAAGAGTATGTATGATGTCTGTCCAATTAAAGCAAGCTAATCTGGATTACAAAATATATACATGATAATCACATCTTGGTTATATGCTCATTATATATGCGTATGTATGGGTATATTTTCTATTTCAGCTAAACTAATCCACTGGATTAATTCCAGAGCATTTTGTAATGATAATTGCTTCAGCTTTGATTAAATATCATCCTATATCTGCAATTGAGATTTCAGGAAAATTAAGTTAACATAAATTATACCATCTTCTAAATATTTTATGTTTAAGCCACAGATTTTTTTATGATAAACACCCTAACTCTTTTATCTGCATTATCTGTGTGAAACACTCTGCTTTTATCTGTATTACGCTTACATCTCTGCTATAAACATCTGGTGTAAGCATCATCTTGCACACTTGATTGGGACCACTTTCAAGCCAATTGTGTGTAACACCATCAAGAAGGAAAGAACAGACATCTACTTCCCATCTTAAAACTGTAAAATCAGCTCTCTGGGGTTACAGAGCAGACCGACCGGGGCTAAACTTCTCAGCTAAACCTAGTTGTTCACTTTTGCTATCCCTGTAGCTGTCAATTTGGACCATCTCTGTGGGAAGAAGTGAGAAAATAGAAAACACTCCTTGTGAAAGAGCAATAGGACGGAGCGAGAGAAGACAATGAAATTCCTGCACCCTGATTTATCCCTGCACTTGTTTTCATTCTGAGGCTGACAGTAGAAAAAAAAAAAACACAAGAGACCCTGTCATGGATAATTGGAAAAATGTTCCCAAAGATTTGTTCACCTGGGTCCTGAACACAGCTGTTAAAACCTCATTTTACAGATTACGTTACAATTCCCCACCTATGAAACTATAGAGGACTCCTTAGCTCGCGTGGTGAAGCAAAATAATTCTTATTTCTGCTTCCACAAATAATCTTTTTGTTTTACATTAGATGTAGAATAAAATTTTTCATTTATTCCCAAAGATTTCATATGAGCTTTAGTTAATGATTTCCAAGAAGGACATTTTTGCTCTATCATTCCATGGTAAACAAACACAACATAGGAGTGGATAATTTCTTCTGAAGATATTTTAGTATTGCCTTTTCCCCCAATGTTAAAGAAATGGTTAAACAGTTGGAAGAGGAAACAAAAATTGCAAAAGCCCAGTAACCAGTCAAATGTATCTGACTCTATTTCTAACAAGTTAAGAGTCTTGCGACTCTGACAGAAGTACCAGTATGTCGACATTTACGTGTGAAAAGCAGGATCACTCTTGCACACACATACCATTTCAAGATGACACATGCAAATAGGAATTTTTGATGAAACCTCTTTTGGAATTGGGTCCTCCATGTTTTATTCTTAATACAAAGAAAATTAAGTAAAATAAATGAATGATCTGTTTCAGTTTATCTGAAACCCCAGTCTCAGAATTAGTTCAAGAGACCCCATTCATTTCCAGCTGCCAATTTCAGCCAACCATCGTATTAAGTTACTATGTCATTCTGACAGTTGTCGGGGGCATGGGACAACTCTGTAGATTTCAGGAGCAGGATTTCTGGGACTGGATATGTGTTTGGCATAAGCTCACTGTTGACAAAGGCAATGGAGCAGAAACTAAATTAAGGGCAGGTTGTTAGAACAAATCACTGCAAGAATAGAGCTGCAAATCAAGATAGTGCACTGCAAATCCATTGTTTAAACAGATGTCGCAAAGCTAAAGTTTGGGGAAGGGAAGAGAAGGAACAACCACAGTTGTGTCAGGAGGACTTGGCTCTGAACACACGGCCAGCTGGTCATTGGAACACCCAACTCTGCCCCTTCATCTTGCTCTTGGCAACTCTGAATATGACTTTACTTCCCTCAGCTAAAGACAAGACCACTAATAATCTCAGGCAACTCCAAGACTAATGCATTGAAAGTCAGATTTTCTTTTTTGTGTGTGTGTGGTACCGGGGATCGAACTCATGACCTCGCGCTTGCCAGGCAGGCACTTACGGAAAGTCAGATTTTCTTAATAACTTTGCTACTAACTTTGTTCTAAAATGGGATTTCAAATAGTATTCAGAGGTATTTTAATTGACTTCTATTTCTGTTATATCTAAGATTAAGGATGATTTCTGTACCCCAAGAAGGAGAAAAAGGGGCTCCAAATGTCCCACAAAATATATTAGCATGACATACTCATAACTTTCTGTTAACAATCTCTTAACTTCTTGAGCAAAATATTGCTTGATTCTATTTTTGAGTTATTAAAGGTCCATTGATTTTCTCCCAAACAGGTCTCACTTTCTGGGGCAGGTTTATGGCAAGGAAAATGAAACTCACCTGACCTGAGTGTTCTTCAAAATGTTCTCGTGTTAGTATTCTAAAATAGTTCAAATAGTGTCCAAGAAAAATAATCAAGAAGCCCTTGTTTTTCCCTTTCCTGGCAAATACAGGAGATTTACAACAATCATTTTGTTACACACTTTACTATGTTGTGTATCTTAGTATCACTGCTACAATAATTCACCACACACTTACCCGCCTGAACAACACAAGTTTACATACTGTAGCTCTGCAGCTCAGAACATGGGTTTCATTACGCTAAAATCAAGGTGCTGGCCAAAGTAAGGGCCTTAATTTTGCTCCTATCTGAAGGTGGCAGAGGAGAATGTTTCTTTTCATTCGGGTTGTGGGCAGATTACAATTCCTCACAGTTGTGGGATTTAGGGCTCTACTTTCTTGCCCTCTATTGACAGCCATTCTCAGTTTCTACAAGGCAGCCACATCCCATGGTTCATGACTCCACTTTCTCGATCTTTAAAGCTAGTGACAAAGTGAATCTCTTCCATATTTCTTTCATACTTCAAGTTCATCTCCACCAACTCCTGTTTTGTCTCCATGGCCCATTCTCTCTGTCTTCTTTTCCTACTTCTAAGAAGTCATACGACTGTAATGTTGCCACCAGGGTATTCCAGGATAATCTCCACTTTCAAGGGCCTCATTCACATCTGCAAAATCTCTTTGACCATACCATGCAACATATTCAAGGATTCTGGTGATTATGACCTAAGCATCTTTGAGGAAACCATTTTTCTGCCTTCTGCATCATGAAAATGTTTTGTGTCACAAAGAAGATAACTCACATCAGTAATACAAAAATAAATAAATACTGAAAATAAAAATTACACGTTTACCTATTTCAATGTCTTCAAAATACAAATTTGGTTCATTGTTAAATGTTCCACTTTTCAAATTGCAAAAATAACACTGTTTGACATTAGAAAAATGGAAATATACTAGATGAAGTCTCAAAAAGCCTTGATATATTTGTTGAATGAATTAATGCTGTGATTTAATAAGCACACTAACGCCTTTCACATTCGCGCACACAAAGCATTAACACTGAACTTAAACCACCTGTCAAAATAAAGTGAATTAATCTCTTAAACAGTTTTATTAAATATAAAATGAAGGCTTGAAAAATAATGAAAACTATCCATTTCTATCCTTGAAATAACAATGCTAATATTTTAAATGAGTAAAAGCAGAATAGAAAATAAAAAGTATTTTTAAATGTTCATTTCTTTTTCAAAAAGCTTTTGTTTTTAATTAGAAATAAGTAATAAAATATTATTTATAAAACAAGTATTTGCATAAATATCCTTTATAAAAATAAACATAATTAAATAGAAATATTTAAGGTGCATGTCCTAAAATTTTACTTGTCAGCATGAGTCATCAAAGAGATTGAAAATTATTATGCTGGCAGGTTCATGCTAAATATATTTGATTATTACATTACACACTGAAACTGTTTAAAAGAAATAATCAATTAACCTGGTGTCAAGACTTTTGTAAGAATCAGATCGAGACTCATTATGATTTCAATTAGCCGCTCAAAATTTCATAACAGAGTAGTTTACTGAGGTTCCTCCTAGTTGGGAAAAATTAGGCAAATATTTTTTAAATGGAACTTTTTCTAAATTGCTAAGTTTAACCACTGAAATTTAACAGCCACAAAAGGGGCTTGGGATTTAGCTCAGCGGCACAGCGCCTGCCTGGCAAGCGCAAGGTCGTGAGTTCAATTCCCGGTACCGGAAAAAAAATCAAAACCAACAAACAAAAACATTAACATCCGCAAGAACATGAGACATCATCTAAGTGAGTAGGGAAATTTATTTGCTGTTACATTTAACACGTGTAGTTTTTAATGCATACCTTTCCATTTCTTGCTGTGAAACATGCAAATAATTTTTTTTAAATACATAGCAACAGCTTAAGAACCTCTAGCTCTCTTGATCTTTTTCATGGTCATTGTGTAATGAATCTTTTGTGTTGGTGACCAGAAAATCATGTCACAAGCTACATTGCACACATTATTAGAAAATGGGTAATAAATAGCAAATAACACTCACAATTCTATTTTCTCTCCAGCAGAATGTATTTTCCCTGCTAATTCATTCATATGGGTTTTGTCTGTGTTTGTGTGTAGAGATGCACACAGCATGTCCCCCTTACAAGTACAACTGAATCGATGTCACTTACCACACTATCCCCTGAGCCCCTGAGCCAATAGGCTTTAGATTCTGGTAGCGCTTGAGAACCGTGAAGGTTGAGTCTCCCACTTCCACACTGTAGAACTGGTTGTCCACTTTGCTTTTGCTCATGTTGTAATGTTTGGCGATATATGACACATCCACTTGTTTATCAAATCCCTGGCCAAAAAGAACAACAAAACCATGAATCAAGTGAGCTGGTGGAATGCAAATAGATGCAGTGAAGTCTACTCTTTTAATGTTCACCAATGATAGTCATCTAGAATCTAGTTCAAGTAGTTCACACAGGAAATGACGTGATTGAAACATGCATGATTAGCTGGAATAAAAGAGCTTAAAAATGTGAAGATATATTTTATACTAAAACTATTTAAAACAGAATAAATTTAGTAAATTCACATAATCTTTTCTGAAGTCTTTCTTTGAAATCATTCATGTATGAGACCAACATACACTGACCCTGAACTGGTCTCAGAACCATAATAGGTACTGGAGGATTCAAGTAAATAAGGTGGAGAGGATCACCAGTTATCCATTATGATTGTTAAGCAAAGAAGGGTAAAAAATTGTATCTACCACACTTTCTCAAAAAAACCTGACATGTATTTGAGTTATTTGAGTTAAATAAATTTGAATTAAACTGTGTTGGTTTCATTTTTCTTTATTAATACCAGAATTATCCTTCATTAAGTCTTGAAATATTTTAGTTCAAATTCACATTGTTTTAAAATACCATTTTAGATCAAAGATCTAAATATTAAAACAGAAACACTAAATCTACTGGAAGAAGAGTAGGTAGAAAGCTTGAAGACATAGGTGGATGTAGAGGGTTCATGAACAAAACCCAGACTACATGGGAAATACTTCAAAGAATCAACAACTGGGATCTCATCTTATTAAAAAGCTTTTACACAGCAAAAGAATCACTTACAGAGTAAAAAGACAACCCACAGAGTGGGCAAAAATTTTAGCCAATTGTTCCTCAGACAAAGGACTTCTAGCTAGGACATATAAAGAATTGAAAAAAATTGGGGCTGGGGATTTAGCTCAGCGGCAAAGCGCCTGCCTGGCAAGTGCAAGGTCATGAGTTCAGTTCCCGGTACCGGAGAAAAACCAAAAAAAAAAAAAAGAAAAAAAAGAAAAAAATCAGAGCCCCAAAATTCAAAGACTCAATCATAAAATGGGCATCTGAGATGAATATACCCTTCTCAGATGAAGAAATATAAATGGCAAATAAATATATGAAAAGATGTTCAACGTCAGTGGTCATTGCAGAGATGCAAATTAAAATACTGAGATTCCATCTCATCCCAGAAAGAATGGCTACCACCAAGAAATCAACCAATAACAAATGCCAGAGAGGCTGTCAGGAAAAAGAAACCCTCCTCCACTGTTGGTGGGAGTGTAGACTGGTACAACCACTGTGGAAATCAGTGAGGAGATTCCATTAAAAAATTGGATTAGAGGTTGCATAACACTCAGCTATTCCTCTTCTGGGTATCTTCCCAGAGAATTGAAAACATCATTCCACAGCCATATTTGTGCACTCATGGTTATAGAAGTACAATTTGTAATAGTAGCAAATAACACTCACAATTCTATTTTCTGGTCTTAGAAACAGCCCAAATGTCTTTTAACCAAGGAATGGATAAAAAGATGTGTTTTTACAATGGAGTACTACTCATCCATAAAGAAGGATAAGCTTGAGACTTTTATAGGGAAATGAATACAATTTGGCATGCAAGTCAGGTATACTATTAGTGTCTCTTAGCACATGAAAAGGGAAAGTTTGTGCTAATCAATTGGAGAAATTTGTATGTCCAGGTCTTGTACCCTGAGCAACTACTTTAAAGATAACAGCATGTAATGTATTAACTATTGTTATTCTCCTATTATTTTGTTATGAAATTTTGTTTTACCTTTTTCCATAAAATAAAATACCATTTTATTTTGGAATCTTATATTTTCAATATCTAGATGGTTACATTTTCTGTTTATCTTTAAGAGAAGTTCATCTAACAATCATAGTAATTGAAGATTGAATCATTTTATACATATAATGTCAAGAGTCATTAGCTATGATTATTATTTATCCATAAACACTCTTCTATTATACTTTATGACATAGATGTTATGGCTTCTATGGAAAAAACGGCCTTTAAAGATTACCAACTAGCCATTTTTATACCTCACACTGTTAGAATGCCTCACTAATAGTTACCACCTCTGGCTGATTTTGTTTGGATTTTGAACAAACCCACATTTTCTGTACATTCTTCTACAATGTCAGTAGCTGAAAAACTTAATCTGGTAGTTCAGAGGTGGTGTAAGCACAATGAGAGAATCTGGGAGATTTGTAGCATGATTTGGAGCATGACAGTGCTGGAAGATATGATTTGCATTTATCTGGTTTCCTACCAAGGCTGGTGGTCCGAGGTGAATGGGACATTCCACTCAATGAAAAACTCCCACACACCTCTAACTTTTGAGTTCTGCAAAAGTTTTAAATAGTGAAAACCTACCTATGCTATTTTAAGTTCAGACTCTAAAGAATTTCATATGATTTTAGCATACATGAAGGTTTCTGAAAATCTAATTCACATAATTTGAAAGAAGATTTTAACCTCTTTCACATCTGAACTTCTGGCTTGGTCATAAAACCACTTTCCTTGGAAAATTTTGTCATTTCATTACTCAGTAAAAAAACTGAAATAAAAGCATTTAATTTCTGCTTGTATGCCCTGGGAAGGGGACTACGACAGTATCAGTATCCACACCATGGTCAGTTCTAGACTTGTTGGCACGTAAACCAGCCAGATTAAAGTTCTGGCCTTTTACCTAAGATAAAAATGCAATTGGAGCTACAAGATGAAACGCTTCTATCTTCCACAGCTAACTTGGGATGACCTAAGCACTGAAATCGCATTTGTCCTGTTCTGATTCTCCTTTACATCCTTTAATACTCTGACCACACAGAACCCTGGGCATACATGGGTCTCACACACCTCAGAACAGTAATCCCTTTCCCTTCTTATTGCCACCACCGGTGCAGAGCGGCTCTCCTGAATGCACTGCCCCTACACATTCACCACATTTAATGGTCTTTATGTTCCTGACTCCTGACTTAATGCTGTTTTTTGGCACCACCAAGGGCTTGGTGTGGTTTTTGGACTTGATTATGGCTTTTGTAGGGTAATGGACGGCAACTCTTAGCATATCATTTTTAAGATAGAATAGTTTTAGTCTTAGTACAAGCCTCAAAATGTGTCTTGAGAAACATCCCGGAGGGGCTGTAAAAAGTTAACTTTGCAGTTAACTTTGCCTTGCAATGTTTCTCCAAAGATAAAGAACACCCGGGCCCAGATAACCACCTATCACCCAGCCTGGGCTGTTTCATCCCTTCCCTGGCCCTAGTTAAACATTGTGACCGTAAAGGAATGTATAGTTATAAAAAGGGGAACAAACAGAACAGAATGCGAGAAGCATCTATCTTAATGGTTGGGCTCATGATCGGGTCCTGGTTCAGCCACAAGGAACAAGTAAAACAATATGTGGCCACCTGAATCAACGGCTGCAACAGTCCATTCTGTTACCATGGAAACCAAAAGAGTATTTAAAGTTGAAATAAGACAAGGACGGTGCCGACATTCCCTGACCTGCTAGTCAGGGATGTAGGGTGACTAGTCTAAATTCAATGAACTCTGTTTACCCTAAAATTGAACCCTTCAAGCTTCTGTCAAAATCAGCCCATCTGCAGTTACAGTAGCTATGCTCCTAGTCTTTATATTGGACTGAACCAAATTGCTGGCTTTCCTCTTCTAATATCTAAGTGCATATTAAAAGTCACCAAGGAAGTTTAATGATGCCTGCCATTTCTTTTTCAGTCATACTCTAACACTCCCCTAACAATAAAGCCTCTCTGACACTAAAAACTGTTTAACCTAACAAACCCCAATGATATACACATCATTGGCACTGCAGATATAAAAAAGACAAGATAAGGTCCCAGACTGGAGAATTAAGTAGTTAAGATGCAGAGGACATATTCTGTTGTACAGTAAAGAAAAGGTATAGCAAACAAACAGAAAGTAGCAACTCACTTCCTGCATTCATCCATTATCATTAATTCATTCAACTAATACATGCCAAGTCACCAGTACAAAGCTGGTAGTGTTTGAAGGAGAGATCTGAATTGTGTTTGCTCAGACCAGCAATACCCCTGAGCCTCCTTTCTCGCTGGTTCTTAGATGTGAGTGTGCTTCTGGTCTGCCTAGAGAACTTAATAAAGTACAAATCCTGGTTTTGCACAACACCCTAGAGATTCGGATTCAAGCACATAAAAGTAAAAGTCCTGAGAATCTGCAGGTTTCTAGGAAGTCCTGCTAAACTGAAGATCCAAGTGGCTGCCACTGAGGAAGATTATGGCAGAACAATCACTCTCCAAGGGTGTTCTCTGAAGCATCAAAGCAGCATTGCTGGAACTTGTGAGGAGTGTAAATACACATGTTTTTCCCACTCCTATTGAGTCAGGAACTCTGAGGATGGAACCCAAGAGTCTGTGTTTTCATCAGCCCTCTAAGTACTGCTACTTGTTGAGAGCCATATGTGGGAGTGAGCGGCGGTCTAAAGACAGATACAGATAACACAGCTTTGCCTGAGATACTCGAGAGTGAAGCCCTTACTATGAAGCAGAAGTAACCTTTCTGTCTCCGCACTAGGGCACATACTGAGAATGGGTATGTGGCTCCATGAGCTGCTAAATTCTGATGCTCATGGCTCATGCCCACTGCACACCAGGAACCGAGAGGAAGCACAAATCAACTACACCACCTCCGGTTCTACTCTATCTAGTTGCCCCTTTTTCAAGGCTGACAAAGTCTCTGTTCAGTCAGGTTCACCCCTGGCCACCTGCTGTAATAAAGTAAGTAACTTCCTCTCAGCAGCTTCTGACACTAAGTGTCTAGTAATTTTTACAGTGGGTACCTGAAAGATTTTTCATATAATGGAAATGCTATATGTGGACTTGGTGACCGTTGGTACCATGATTAAAACCATCACAGGGCAAGGAGTATAGCACAGCATTAGCACACCTGAGTAGAAGGTAAGGCCCCAGATTTGAGCCCAGCACTGGAGAAAACAAAAGCAGAGCTTCTCTGCAA